TATGGACTGGAACAACGTATTCAATCCTGAAACGAAAAGTAATGTCTGCATCACTCTACTCTCTTCTACCTACATTTCAAGAACACGCAGATTGATTAGACATTTGACTTGATAACTACAAGGTTACATTAGTTTGAGCCGGTTAGTTATGGAGAACCAGACTAATTTACCCTTCTTGTAACCCTTTATAAACTAGGATTACAAGGCGGGATTTACCCTGTGCACACTCAAAAAACAATATTTTTTCCTTAGTGCCTTCAAATTCTTACTTTTCCACCACCCATCTGAGGAACTATCAATTTGGGGATGAATACAATATTGCCCAGAGTCAACAGGTAATGCTGGAAACCTAAAACCATTGCCTCTGCTGCATGAAGTAAACAAGAAATATTTCAGATTTCAGAACTGAAACCTCATTTTATGTGTAAAAATTAGCAGAAATTTGGGCAACCCCAGTCAAATTAGTCTGCCGTTAACTTGGTAACCGCAAGGTCCTATTGCTCTTTTGGTTTGAGCCGATTATGAACAACCTAAACTGGTTTACCTCATTACAATTCTTTTGTCGGCTAAGGTCACAAGACTGTATTTACCCCGTGCACACTATCGGGTAGTTGCTACAGGATTCCCTCCCCATCCAAAAAAAAAAACACAAATAGCAGAAATTTGGGCAACCTCAGTCAAGTTAGTCTGTCGTTAACTTGGTAACTGCAAGATCCTATTGCTCTTTTGGTTTGGACCGATCATAAACAAGATAGACTGGTTTAGCTCATTGCGATTCTTTTACGGCTAAGGTTATAGGACAGGATTTACCCGGCTATCGAGTAGTTGCTACTGGATTCCCTCCCCATCCAAAAATCCAAAAAAAAAAAAAGCAGAAATTTGAGAAGGAAGAACTAACGTACACCATGGCGGCGGACTGTTGACGCAATATTCTACGCCGGAAAGCTGCTCCGTTACTGCATGGGGCTGCGGCTTCAACTCCTCAAACTTCTTATAATCTTCTGCTGATGACATTCTTGAAGCGAAGCTCAATCAAGTTTACACACAGGAAAGCTTAAGCGATTACTGTTAGTATTAGATCACACTATATTAATTAGTATTTCATATATCATTCATATATTCATATACAATATTTTACATGCATAGGGTAAATATGATTCATAATTCTATATAGACCATTACATTTCAAGATATATAGCACTAAAATTTTAAAAATTTACCGTTACAAATCAAAATTCATAAATGCATGCTATAATGGAGAAATAATGGAGATGATTAATATTTAAGATGGTGTAATTTTGATCATTATATTCATTCCCAATTCTCTTTATAAAATGTAAATTATACATTTTACATGCACACAAGATAAATACAATTTATAATTTTGTTGAGCATACAGCCATTAATGTGCAATCCAATTATCAGCTTAAACTTTTAGTTGATATGGAGCACATGCTTCAATTGGTATCAGAATCATACGGTCCACGTGTGAATGTACTTAGACTTTTAGTTGAGATGGAGCACATGCTTCAATTTATATAGACCATTCATTACATTTCAAGATATAGCATTAGAATTTCATGAATTTACCGTTACAAGTCAAAATTCATAAGTGCATGTGGTAATAATGGAGAAATAATGGAGATCATTCATATTTAAGATGGTGGAATTTTGAACAATCATTGCTAATTTTCTGTTTAAAATGTAAATTATATATTTACATGCACACATGATAAATACGATTTATAATTCTATATAGACCATTACATTTTAAGGTATAGAAGAAGAATAGCATTGAAATTTTATGAATTTACCGTTACAAATCAAAATTCATAAGTGCATGTGGTAATGGGGAAATAATGAAGATGATTCAATTCATTGTCAATTTTCTTTATAAAATGTAAATTATATATTCGAAGTAAAATTGGAGTAAGACTATATTTATCTTTGCAATTTTCTCACACCTTAAAAGTGAATATTATCGTTATATCAATGTATTTGCAATTTATTATTATTTTCTTTACATCTGTACAATTCCAATTCACTTTTAAAATAATCACGTTTTCTTGAAATTTTCTGCCAACACTTATGAACAAATTTCGAAGTGCTTTCCTATTGTTCTAGTTCGCCAATAGCAATATATCTGGAGTGTTCAACTATATTACTGTAATCTATTTTATCCTAATTCCTAAGAGATTGGCGCTACAACTAACGCTTTTAGCACCCTAGATTGGTCCGTCTTTAGGTTACAAACAATTGCCATATAAGTATAACCCCATCAAAATGCTTAGTAATACTTAACTTAAAATTTAGAAAAATAAACATTATTTTATTAGGGATCAAAAAAAACAAAAGAAGTGAAACAAATATAGTGATGATGAGATGGAAGAAATACTAAATTTATAGTTTAGAACCTTCTAACATACGCTGTATTATCTGTGTTTCAGCAGTGTACTGTGGCGCACCAAATTTATGGTTTTTTAATATAATTTTTTAATAAAAATGTATGGTTTTTTTTGTAACTGCTGCCATGAACTTTCATATCAGTCAACACTAATCAAGTTGCTTTACTGAACCCCTTTTACACCAAACTACTGTATACTGAAGTAACTGATCGAACCCCACTACACTAGAACCCGTCAGTCAGTGTTTTTAGGTAAAACCCGTCGCCGTTACTAGGTTTGTGAGACCCGTTGGCGTTATTGGGTAAAATCCGTCGTCACTAGCTACTAGGTGAAATAACTTAATTGCTACCGTTATTCAAAAGTATGTTCTAAATAAAACTCATTTTGTGATCTAGCTAGAAAAATTTATACGCCCTGTTTAATAAAATAGTTAGTCTATCAGCTAATTTTGTCTTATTTGATCATTATTAATTGTTTGACTTGGTTAAAAAATTAATATAAGTATTTGGTTAATTAGGTTTTTGTAACTCCGAAATGTTAAAATTCAAAAAGCTGCTCAAAGAGCCTTTTCAATTAACTTTTTGAGAAAAGAAATTATACCAAACAGCTACTCCCTCCGTCCTTAATTGATTGTCTCATTTGCTTTTTACACAGTTTTTAATACAACATAACAAATGTTACTAGCTTTTCAATTTTACCCCTCAAAAGTAGATGTTATTTGTACAAAGTACAATTGTACTTGCATCATTAATTGTCTAGAAATTTGAAAAGTCAAAAGGATAAATTAGAAAATGTAGAATGATAGATATGTTCAATTTTGGAAAGAGGACACTATTTTGAGACAAACAAAAAAGGAAAGTAAAACACATAAAATAGGAACAGTCGTTATATTATAGATGCACCGCGGTAAAAAACGGCGCCGTTTCTTTAAGTAAAGAAACGGCCCGCCGTTAGAGTTAGCGGAGTCCGCTTGTTTGGTGTATTAAACACCAACTGACACTATAGTATATCTAAACCGACACTGCAGTTATATCAAAATGATACTGTAGTTATAGTGAAATGAAACTGCAGTGTATATAAAATGAAACTGAATAACATTTCACATATTTGAGTGTATATTGTACAATGAAGCTGTAATTATATCAAAATGATCATGTAGTTGTGTTTTAATGAAACTATAGTGTATATAAAATAAAATTAAATAATATTTTCACATATTTGAGTCTATAAATATCGAATGAAACTATAGTTATATCGAACTGAAACTGCAGTGTATACAAAATGACACTGAATAACAGTGTTACTTTTTACAAAAGGGTGCGAAACGGCAGAAACAAACACGGTTTATTTTCATTTAAAAAAAAAGATGCGCGGTGCATAATCGATTATGCACCGCGGTACATAATATAATTTGCCAAATAGGACGGAGGGAGTATTAGCTAATAGCTAATTTACCAAACACTTTTCTACAATGAATTAATGTTATCAACTAGTTATACTCTCTAATTAACCCAATCAAATAACCTCTAACAGCTATAAGCTAATAATCACTTACCAAACAGAGCCATAATCACACATTAAAGATATGTTGCCTTATGACCAAATGTAAGCACTACTCAAAATATATGCTCTAGAACTACTCAAAAATATGCTCTAGAACCTGTCACAAGACCTTAACTAACAAAATACTAGAATGAAGAAGTAAAGGAATCTACACCATCCATAAATAACCAATTCAAATTTGAAGTTACTAAATTGACCAACACTTGAAGTTACTAAATTGACCAACTCGACTCTAAGTTAACTGCTCGATCGACCAACTTTGTAGGATAGATAGGCTGGGCCAAATGTTGGTACACAGAAAAAATTTGTCGACCTTGAGTATAATCTCCACTCGACCAACTTTGTAGGATAGGCTGGGCCAAATGTTGGTACACATAGATAAAATTTGTCCACTTTAAGCATAATCTCCGCTCAACCAACTTTGTAGTATAAGCTGGTCCAAATATTGGTACACATAAAAAAAATTGTCACTTTGAATATAATCACCACACTGTTGTTCTGACTGAGGTTAGAAATTTAGTCTCTTCTCCCAAAATACGTACTGCCTAAGATTGTTGGTCAAGAACATGCATGTTGAATCCATCCATCCATCCGAGGAGGATGATGAACAGCACGTACCGGAATATAATGAAGCCGACACTTATTTTCTATTGTACGTTACGCACAATATGTCATCACTGTACTGTTTGAATGTCCTACTAATATAATATAATGTTATGATGACTTCCAGTTCCCCCTTCTTCGCCTTGCATGAGCCTTAAATCAAGCTCAGCACTATCATATGATATTCCACTTCTAACAATATAATTATTCTCAAATTACAAAACCGCAGCTCCTCTAATACACATTAATTAAAAGAACAGAACACCTATGAATTGAATTAAACAAACATTTTTTTTTCTACTGCTATATATATAAATATAATTAAATCTCTCTCTCTATATATGAAATATATAAACATTTGACCAGGGAGAAATTAAAAGCTTGAGCTTTACTTCAAAACTATATTTACCGCTATTTAATTTGAGCATTTTAAGGATGTTGAAAGCACGCAGATTTGGAGGAATTATTGTCGGAGGTATGGAACCTCCATTGAAACAGGTAGTCTTTTGAGTGGCAAGCTAGCTTGACGGCGTCGCAGAAAGCTCGGACGGTGGTTTTCTTCCCGTCGTTATTGCTCCATTCCATTCTTACCCAGCAAGTGAATCTGTTGGAGGAGACGGGGAGATTGACGGAGTTGGAGAATTGGATGGCTACCTCGCCGGAGATCGTCTTGCATGGGCTGTGGAACGGCGGGAGGAGGTCGAGCCAGCGGCATTCCGGCTGCCCCACCAGTTCCTTGTAGGCGGAGTTGGCTAGCCGGACTTTGTTGTTGACGTCGGAGACGAGAATGGGTAGGGACACGGCCTCCGCCTCGCTCTCCACGTCCGCTGCTGTTTTTAGTGAGGTCGTGTACGGCGGCGCCGGCGGGTCGGAATGGAGTATACAGCCGACGAAGACGGTGGAGCCGATTAATCGGACGGGGTGCGGGGTGATCACGGGTTGTAATTGCGGCATGAAATCGAACTCCTCCGGGGATTCGGCGGCTTCCCGGTTCAAATCAATCCCCCGGAGCACGCGCCCTCCTCCGGACGTCTCCGCCGCCGCCGGAGAATCCATCAGCGGCGGAAGATTAGGGTGGTGGATCATCGGAATCTGGGGAAAACCGGTGGGGTAATTAGCCCAAGTATTAGCAGCGGCGGAGGAGTTCAATACCTGATGATACGGCGGGGGCGGGGGCGCCGCCGCCGGAGCAAACCCCTGGAAACAAGACCTGGCTCTCTTCAACGGCGGCAGCGCGAAAGCCGACCGCCCACGCTTCCGTGTCCTGGTCGGCCGGGCCTGCAAATGCGGCCACACATTCCGGAGAAACGCCGACTTCCTAATATTCTCCGGCAAGGCATTATTATCGGCAGAGGGACTAGTGGGCGCCTCGGGCTTGGGCGCAATCGGCCTATACCTCGCCAAGATCTCAGCTTTACTCCGGGAACCACCGGAATACGGACTCACAGCCTGCATCATCCTCGCCGGAATTTCAAGATTCTTCTTCTTCTTCTCTCTCTCTCCCCGGAGGAGAGATATGATTGAATTGAATTGTGGAAGCGATGGAGAATGCGATATAGTATAAGAGGAGAGGGGAAGCCAATAAGAGAAAGGCAACATGAAGCTAAGAAACGACACTTGGACATGCACAGTGGGTACGTGTTTGAGAAGCTTACAGAAAGGGACATGTGTGTTTACACGAGGGCTTATGCTTACATGCATGCTTACACTTATCTACCCCCCACCCCCACCCCCTACCCCCACCATCGGTTATAATGCAGAGATCATGAAAATCGTTTCCCTCATTCATTTCCCCTGGACACTACTTTATCTTTTTAGTTTTTTCCTCCTTTTATTCAGACTGAAAGTATAACTTATTAGGTTGGGATTGGTTAGGTCAGTGATAATATATAATAATTATATATTTACCTTTCTTCTCCCAACTCCAAGCCGACAGAGTATTTGAGATTGACTCAGCAGATAATGTCAAATGTTGGTGCGTATAAATGATCTGCTCACTTTGAACATAATTCTTACACTATCGCCTCTCTTATCCCAAATACTGCATACTAAAATGTTGTGCGCACAAATGATCTGCTCACTTTGAACATAATTCCACTGCTGAAAATTATAGAATTTCCGACCACCTGAAAATATCTTAAATCAAGTCGAAAGTCTTGTACCGACCACTTTTGATATCCGAAAAAACCTTTATTGCTATTTCCGACCACATTTTGCTTTTAACTTAATATAAGATCACTTTCAGGTGGTCGAAAATTTCATAATTTCCAGCAGTGTTCTTACACTGTCGTCTTTCTTCTCCCAAATACTGCATACTAAAATGTTGGTGCGTACAAATAATCTGCTCACTTTGAACAAAATTCTTACACTGTCGTGTCTCTTCTCCCAAATACTGCATACTAAATCATTAAGTTAAGCCCGTGCAAGTGTTATATATTAATTACCTTGAATTGTTTTGGTGTGTGGTCGTGCATTTCCATTCCTTAAAAAAATGTCATACTTTCTATAGTTAGTGCTTACTCCTTGTAGTTTAACTAAAACCGATATCCACTTTCTATTAAACTCTTCACCATATGTAGGATCGAGGTGTGAAGGAAGGCTCTTTGTGAGCACTCGATGTTGATTGTCTTACCTAATAGGTCGCTTAGTCATTGTAATTTATCTTTTCATTATATATCGGGTTTAAATGTATAGTCTTATTTTCATCTTTTGTGGATAAAAAGATTAATAAATAATTAAAAATAAAAAGTCAAACTTATAATATTGCAGTTACTAAATTATTTGATCAATTTAATTGAGACTTTTTCCTTGATAAAAATCTCTCACAATTAATGTTTTAGGAATGGAATTAATTGCGTAATTGAGCGAAAGGGAGAAGCCGCGGCGAGCAAACGGTGAAGCGGTGGGCGGAGTTGGAAGCCATGCATGGCTACACCTATCAAACGGCTTTTTACAGTACTACCCTCCACTTCACTTAAAATCCCTATTTCACCCCTTGCTTTGTGTGCGTCAACAGTATAGATTTTGCTTCCCGTGGCTCTGATTGGAGGATCTCTGCTGCGGAATTCATGTGGAGGTGACACGTGGCATCTGAAATCTACCGGCACCGCAAGTAGTAGCAGTTTACTGACACTTTAGATACCTACGAAGTATGTGGGGTATAGCATTTCCACTCCCTGGATACTAAAATAATAATATAATAATAATGATAATAATAATACAATAATACCTTATGTGGGAATTTGTAAAATTAGATATTGATAATAATTAAACTCGTAATCTTTTTAGGGGATGTTTGATTAGAAGGAAAATTAGAGGAAAAAAGAATCACAATTTGATGGAAGAGATAAATAATGTGTGATTAAAGTGGTAATTTAAATTTCATTGTATAGTTTGCATGAATATTATTATTGTGGATTTCAATTTCAATATTTGGTATACATTGAAATTGAAAGGGAATAAGTAATATAAAGTCCAAAATGTTCATCCTTATTAATGTTAATATTTATAATAATAATAATAATAATAATATTATTATTATTATTATTATTATTATTATTATTATTATTGTTGTTGTTGTTGTTGTTGTTGTTATTATAAATCCTAAATGACCAAATTCAGAATTTACTTGCATAACAAAAGCAATAAAATAGATAAGAGAGTTTTGAGAAAACGAACTTAATTGAGGTTGGAGTGTTGGACTACTAATTGACGTTTTGTGTAAAGAGTGGAAGAATAATACACACTAAATTAAAAAAAAAAAAAAAAAAAAAAAAAAGGTCGAACATCAATTTTAAGTTAAAAAGAGATGCGTAATTTTGCTTCAAAGTTTTTTTTTTTTTTTTTCTTCCTAAAATCCATGGAATTGAAATACCAAGGGGGCATGAAATTATAATTCTTTGAAAATGAAGAAATTTTAATTTCGCGGAATTGTAATTCCTTCAAACCAAACAAATGAATTTGTTTGACTTTGAAATTATGTTAGAATGGAATTGTAATTCCTTACAACCAAACGCCTTATTAGGCTATTAATATTAGAGCTATGTTTCACCAATTCGAATACTCCTTTCGTGACTTCATTCGACTCATTTTGTATGAGTTAATTGTGTTTAACTCAATTTTAAAATTATACATATATGTGGACCAATTGTTATACCGTGCACTACCGCGCACATAGTACTGTGCGTCCTGCGTCTCCTCCAAAACGACACATTTTGTTAAGTTGTTAAAAAAAAAAAAGAATCTTATGTTTCGAATGCACATAAACTCATAACAGAATACACATAATCTAACATAATACGTAATACACATAAACTCTTAACATAATACACATAAACTATGACATAATCACATAAACTCTTAACATAATACACATAAACTCATAACATAATGCACATAAACTCTTAACTGAATACACATAAACTCATAACACAATACACATAAAATTTTAACCGAATACACATAATGGGCTTTGGTTAACATAATACACATAAACTCTTAACTGAATACACATAAATTCATAACACAATATACATAAACTTTTAATTGAATACACATAATGAGGCGGCGCGCGGGCGGAGAGTATACTCCCCGTCCCCGAAACCCCGACCCCGTCTCAGGCGGGGAATTAAAAATAATCCCCATCTCCATTCCCGCATAAAATTTGGCGGAGACGGAGATTCCCAGTCTCCGATCAACTCTTAGTTAAAATTTAAAATTAATATAACTTTTAATTTTTAAAAATAAAAACTTAAGTCTTAATTTAAAAAATTATATATATATATATATATATATATATATATATATATATATATATATATATATTAGTTATAATAATTATTCGGGGTGGGGCGGGTATCACCATTCCCGCCGGGAAATTTTAAAAATTCTCTATCTCCGTTTTTGATCTCTGAAATTTTTTTTTGTCTCTGTCTCCGTCCTTACGGGGCTGGGGATCTCCGACCGGGATAGGACATATTGTCATTTTTAGGAGTAATGTCAGTAAGAAATGAGGCGTTTTGTGTCTGGGCGCACATTGCTATGTGCGTCGTGGTGCACGATATAAATTGCCTATGTGGACTGGTAATGGTTTTAATTGGGCTTCAATTTTGTATTCTGATGGGCATCTCTATTGGGTTTAGTGTCGAAAAGAATAGATTTTGAGGCCCATTCATTGACGGTAGATGATGCACTGTCCACCATCACAACGATACACTCTCTTCCACTCAATAACTGTTGTGAAAATACGATTTCACCCTTCATCGTTGCGTATAGAGAAACCATCTTTGAAGTCTTCCACTTTTCCCAAAAAAAAAAAAAAAAAAAAAAAAAAATCTTTGAAGTCTTCCACAGCTAAGAGGAACAGAGAATCATTCGAATTTTGAGAAGAATCTTCCATTCAATCCTTTCATTTTCTTCCCCTTAATCTCTTCTAGCTCAAGAGACAACCCTAGCATCACTGATTTCAATCCGGAGGACGTGCAGCTCTGCATCCTCTCGTTTCTGACGCCGCCGGAGATCTCCGCCTTCGCCTGTACCTCCAAGCGGTTCGTGTCGCTGTGCCGCGACGACCAGCGCCTCTGGTTCTCCATGTGCGACCGCCGCTGGGGATCCAAGACCCTCATCGGCAAGTGGGGGAACGGCGAGATCTCCTACAAGCTCCTCTACATGACGCTGCTCGAGTACGAGCATCTAATCGGGTTCTGGCGCCGCAGCGGCACCGGAACCGGCGTCAATTCCGGGAATTCGGGCCGTTTGGTGTTCTTCGAGTGGGGCCCGTTTTATGTGTCCGGGTCATGGGTTACGCCCGTGAAAGCGTCGTCGTATAAGGTGATCAAATCCCCATTCTTGTGGATGGGGATTAACTCCAGAGGAGAGGCGGTCAACTACCTTGATCTCGAAGGCCGGCTCGAGTTCTCGGAGAATTTGATGGCCTCGGAGGAGTGTTGGCTGCAAGAGAGGGATTTGGTGGCAGTATACGTGAGCTTTATAGGGACATGTCACGTTGCGATTGAGGAGAATGTGAATTCAAGTTCAAGCTCCCCACAAAATGGCGCTTTTAGGAAGGTTTCAAGCTCGTGGAATGTGAATGAAGATGAGCATGAAGACTTGTGTGGGTCCCCTGGGAGCTTGCCGGACCGGCCCATGTCCGAGATTTACCAGTACTTTGCGAACAGGATAAGTCCCGGCGGGAATGGGTCGTGGAGGAGACAGCGAAGAAGGGAGAAGGAAAGGCAAGGTAGAAGGAAGTGGGATATGGAGCATTTTGTCAAAATTGACAATTGCTCACCTACACCAGATCGGCCATTGCAGGGTCTTTGGAAGGTTTTACTCTTATTCTGTTTAAGTTTATATTGCTTTGTTTGAAGCTTTTCTGTGCTATGCTATGATGGTGTTCTAATCTTGATTAGCAATATGAAGTAAAAAGTTTCAAGCTTTATAAATTGTCATTGTGGAGATAAATGAGAACAAGAATTGAAGCCAAAGACCTTGTGGTCTAGCGGCATAATTGTGGCTCAGGTTCGAACCTCAGTTTGGGGGCATTGACTCTTTGTGCTTTAGTAGGTTGAGAAAGTATGTATGGACAAATACTACAGTGTAATAGAGTCAGTAGTACTAACAAAAAGAGAACAAGAATTGAAAATAATGGTTGAAAGTAGAGAAGACAATATTTATGTGGTTCGAAAATGTGTCTATGCCAATGGGGGTGAAGCTGCTCTTTTATTATTTGTGATAGTCAAACATTCAGGGTACATATAAGACATACACAACAGTCCTGAAGCATGCTTTTATCATCATGAAGTAACACGAAGTGAAAAAGTTTGATCTTTATTAAGAATTCCATCATTTAGATGATCTAGAAGATTTCACTCTGTGTGAGATATTGAATATGTTTTAGGTAGAATTGAATGAAATGTTTGTGATTACATTAGGGCTCACTCCTGGTTGATTACTTGGTGCATTGTCATTGTCTGTGATTCTCTGTTTGCCGCTCATTGCAGGGAATAAGTGATGACAGGAGTCTGGAGTTTTATCTGGTTTCGTATGACAACATTGGGGGAATTACTTGCCGAAGAGTTGGGGAATTGTCTCAACTTTTCTCTGGCTGTACCCTAGTTTTTTGGACTTCAAATGCTACATTCGTTGAGTCTCCCTTTACTTTAGAAGAGGAAGATATATATATGAGCCGTGAACATCTTCAACCATATGCAGAAGGAGATAGTTTTTATGATTGTCTGCCTTGTTCTGATAACGGAGACGTAATGCGCATGCTCTCCATGAATTCAAGCTATGACTTGGTCATCCCTGACCTCACAGGAACTAATTTAAATCCTCGGCAGGTGGAAGGGAGGATTTGGCAGTATGGAAATGGGACATTTGGCTTTGGATTTCTCCGAAATGATTACATTATAGATTTGAAGCAAATTGCTAGAGATGGTCATATATTAGATATTATCAACTTTTCAGATGATTGATTTTATTTTATATTTACTTAGTCAGGCCAGTAGAATGACTAGGAATTATCTGATTATTGTCATTGTACATTAAAATTATATACTGGGATTACCATCATTTCATTGTGTTGTATAACATAGTCCTGGAAATAAAAGTTCCCAATTGTTTAAAACTATTGCTGAAACTGATCCTTCCATTATTGTCCTTTGGTTACGTCTTTAGTTGCTACTCTTCCTTATCCTTTGGAATGGTGTAGAAGGGGATGACGGGCTCATTTGTTGAAAATTAAAGATCATTTGCTGACTGATGATGTCTTACATTGATTCTTGACAGCTTGAGTATGATTAGCAAATGATGATCATTTGCAGGAGGAATTGTAATTTGGATGTTTTCCTGGAACTTCGCTTTCAAGATAAAATAGCTGGTAAGTTGGTCAATGAATTTTTTAAAAATCTCTACTATTTTAATGATTTGTTCAATTAGGTTTTTTATTTTCTTCAATATCATTAAGATTGTGCCCTTGCAAAGTTGCATGAAAGTGAAATTTGATCCATCATGTTACTATATCATTCAAAGAATCTTCCTTTGAACATCGTAATTCCTTGATATAAATCAAGGCTAGAAGGTAGTAAACAACTAACATGCATCAGTAGATGTAGATCATTATTTTACTTTTAACTTTATAAACAGGAATGAAATGCAGGCAGCTAAACAGGAATTAATTGCTTTAAAGCCAAGTAACAGTCCAAAATACCGTTCAAATTACTATTCTGCAGCAATTTCCATCACTCTGACCAAATTCTTCTCATGCTCTCCCTCAAGTTGGCTCAAGTTGCCCTTTTCCTTGATAAGTTGAATATGGTGGTGTTTGCAGTATAGGCGGCCATCATATGCAATGTAGTTGGATGGGCTAATCACGCACCCTCCATGGCTGCATTTGAAGCAGCTCCTGTGATATGCACTTCCATTCACCGAGACCTATAACGATATAATTCCAGGTAATTCTCAACTTCAGTATTGTACAGATTTCATCTTGTGAACCTCTCGCAAACTTTAAGTGCTGCTCTGATCTGATCTCACATATGGTTTAAACCACAGAACAAACCTTACAAGATAAATGTAAGCAAACTACTTACCTTTTCAATTGGATAGACAGTACTCTTGCAGCCCACACATTTCTCTCTTGTTCCAACAAAAAAGCTTGAAACTTTATTTGCTAGCGGTTTCTGTTAGAGAGATGCATTAACTAGTTATGAACATGGGGGTATTAGACATTGGCAAGCCAAGAATTTGATAAATGTATTACCCCGTTGAGGACAGGTTTATCTGGCTTCTCAATCTTTGGTATCCCTGAAAGAACAAATATGGAGTAACACTTTTGTCCTTAATCTTTATACGTTAGATGTTTATGAATTACTACTGTCTACCTTCGAAGCTTTTGTCCAAACTACCAGTTCTCTTGAAGAGTTGATCAAAGTGTGGCCTGCAATATAGAACTCCCTCGAACGAGTTATAGTTGCTAAGCTGCAAACAAAAATATACAATTACATGAACCAATGTAAGTTGAAAGGGTTATAATAGTCATTATATAAACCTTGAGGGTGCCTTTGCAGTGGTGGCATCTGAAACACGCTTTGTGGTAGACTCTATTATCTGCGGTTAACTTGTCAACGAGATAGACTGTCTTCTCACACGCCATGCATTTCTGGGTTGTTCCTGCAAATGCCATGGCTATTAGTCTCTTCCAACAAAACAAGATCTCTCCCACACACACTCTCTCTTATTAGAAGCAGAAAGCACTTATAGGAGTTAGGAACACAGAACACAAAGACTCTTTGGGTTGTTAGTGTGGTCAAGAATCAAGAAATAAACATGTTGGTTTCACTAGTAGTTAAAGAAAACTACTTTTACTTGGGTTGGAATTAAGGCTAAGTAGGAGAGATAGTGAAATGCGGGAGAAATCTGTGAAATGTGTAATGAAAGATTCATAATTGTTCCTTGCAGATTCATCAAAAAGGAGGTTCACATTCATTGGTGGAGAGCCTTGTTTGGTGGGTAAGTAGATTCTGTGTTTCTTCTCTTCACAGGCTCAGTTCATTCTCTACTGACACTGCAACAACACATGAATATATTATGGATTCTGTGAGATATGTTCTCCAAAATGATGGTGTGTGGGTGGTCTAGGGGGCCATCATGAGTCAAGAAACTGGGTGCACTTTGTAATATGTTCAGATGAACAACTTTTGTACATTCATTTTAATTTGTTTTCATGTATATTTTTCAATGACAAGTTGGACTGTAAAAAATTAAAAAAAAAAAAAAAAAAACCTTCATTTTGCATTATAAATGGCAGTTGTCGTACCACCCGAGTTGTCGGACAGTTAACTTAGTAACTACAAGATTCCAAGTTCGTTTCCTTATATGAACTATCAATTGGCCTTTTCGGTTTGAGTCGGGCAACTTAGATCAGTTATCAAATTGTGGGATTTTTCACCATTGGGAATTTTGTATAACTTTTTCAGCTTCCAATATTTTTAAACATGAGAAGAAGCCCTGCTGATGACTATGGTATTAGGCTGCCAACCTTCCTAGTTCCTACCTATTAAAGGACAAATTATCCAAATATATAAATAACGAGTCTGAAATTCTGCAAATTTATATACTAGTTTAACAAATTGAAATTCTTAAAGCCTTTTCACAATACAATATACCACCAAAAATCCTTAGCCGAATATAGTCTAGATCATCTTTTTGTCAACTAACTCCTAATATTATATAAAAACGTCCAGAAACAATAACAAGAAGGGCGTTTGGTCTAGTGGTATGATTCTCGCTTTGGGTGCGAGAGGTCCCGAGTTCGATTCTCGGAACGCCCCACTCGATCCTTTTTGCTGAAAAATTTCATATTTTCAGTAGCTTTTGTTGCAGTTTGATATTTTTAGCGATCTTTATAATTGTGAAATGACAATGGTGACTGAGAAATGAGAACCCATTTTGGAACGGTGAGTTTAATTGTTCAAGCTGTACACTTAAATTGTCTTTTTTAAAGATGGTTTAGAGTAATGGTACATTCGTATCGGTTCAAATGTCTTAGGTTGTCTGGAGTGGTGGAACATTCGGACCGATTCAAATGTATTTCCATATTCACTTATCATATCAGAATACGAGATAAATTTAGAGTACATTATAGTACTTTCAATTTTTGATATGTAGTCAGAAAGCTCCAAATTTCAACTGAGACATATCACAAGCATTTTCTTAAGGAAGATTTGATATCTAGATGCCAGCACGAACTTAACTTAATGGTTGAATAGGCAATATTTGAAAGAAGAGACCAATGTTCAAATCTCGACGGTAACAGTAGGGATTCAACCTTTATGGGAGAAGATTTGATATTTAGATTATACCTTAATTAAAATTATAATACCCACCAAAAATAGATACCAAAGCGTGCCTATTTTTGGTGTTTTCTTCAAATTCTTTTCCATTAACCAACGCTCGTCATTACAATTGTAATTTAAACGTTTTTTTAGAAGTTAAAAAGTCCGAAAAGAAAAAAAAAAATTGGAAAAATGGTTAAATAAATCCTTAAACTTTATTAAAAAAAGTCAACTAGACCCTTAAATTTTTAGAAGTTGCAATTAAACCCACAAACATGTTATTTTGGAGCAGTGAAACCCATTAACCTATAATTGCAGGTCAATTAGAGTTCCAGCCAACTCCGACGAACCTCCGGCAACCATCCGACCAAATTCTGGCATAAAAGGACAAATACTAGCGACCGGATATGGCGACCAACTTGGTCGTCAACGGTCACCGGTCACTGGTTTGTCCTTTTTTTTTGTTGGAATTTGGTCGGAGGTTCGTCGGAGTTGGCTGGAACCCTAATTGACCTGCAATTACAAGTCATCAATATGTTAGTGGGTTTCATTGCTCTAAAATAACATTTTTATGAGTTTAATTACAACTTTTAAAAATTTAATGATCTTAATTAATTTTTTAGGTAAAATTTAAAGATTTATTTGATATTTTTTTGTGAAAGAAATAGATACCCCTACAAAATTACTTTCTAGTTTCTACTTCCACTTTTGTCAAAAGAAAAAAAGAAAAGAAAAGAAAGAGAGTTTCTACTCCCCCTAAAGAAAGAAAAAAGGAAGAAGACAAAAACAGCCACCTCACCACGTGGAAATCACGTGAAGATTCTTATCCTTTCTTCGAAAGATCACATCATAAAACATCATACCAAATATTTTTTGTAAAATCTTAAAGGAAAATTACATTTTTATCCTTCGATTGTATTTGTGGTACAAACTAATCTCTTAATGCATAATTATTTTTAACCCATTAAATGACATTTTAGTTCATGAAGATTCAAATTAATTACTTTATTAATTGTCATATTAATGAAAAAAAAAATCAAGTAACTTGTGGTTCACTAGAACCCAGTTATTCTTTTAAGTGGGAGATAATAAATTCGAACCTCACTTAAAACAATATATGTGTATATAGGGTATCATCCTTACCCTTCCTTATAAATAAAAATATTAGTGAAAAAAATAATCTTGAAAAATTATCAGTATATAATTGAAGAATTAAGTCTGTACTATGAATGTACTATGAATATAACGAAAGGACAAAAATGTAAAATTTTTCAAATATTAAATGCAAACTCACTCTTGTCCATAAGTTAAAATCGCAACATGTCATTATCTCCCAACCTCCCATTATTCCACATATAGTTAGTACATAAGACAACAAAGGAGAAGACCCCAGAATAAAACGGGCCAAGGCCCATGGGCCGGGCATCACCTCACCGGCCCAGAGCCCGCCGGAGCTCCTGCGCCAGCATCGCCGGCGCGGAGAGGTGAGGCAAGTGGCCCTCAATGGGCAGCACGTGCACGGTGTTCCGGCCGCCGAGGTGGTTCTTGAGGTACGTCGCCACCGACCCCGGCACCGACACGTCCTTGGCCGTCTGGATGATGTGGCACGGCACCTTCACCAGCCCCAACACCCCTCTCAGGTCGCTGTTGAACACCGTCCGGGACACGAACAGCGTTATGTCCGGCCGCATGTTGAACAGCGTCCGGCTGAACTCCCGCACCGCCGCCGGCACGTCCGCCCCCACCGCCAGCGGCGCAAACCCCCGCACCCACGCCTCGTAGTTCGCTTGCATTGCCGAGAACACTTTCTCGATCTCCCCTTGCTCGAATCCCCCATGGTACTCTTCATCATTCAAGAACCTAAAATTTTAGGAAAAAAAAATTTTTTGTTTACTTGTAATAATACTTATCCCCAACCCTTAGGGCCCCACTCCGATCCGACAAAACGTGTAGTAAGATGTAAATCACGGTGACTTAATGTGGTTCACATTCCGACTCAACAAAGCGTGTGAGAAAATGTAAATCACGGTGACTCAATAGGTTAGTAGATAGGGCCAAATACTGGTGGGCACAAAGAAATCTGCCCACTTTAGACCACTATTAAAGTTTAAACTTTGGTCTCTTATCTTAAATACTGTCCACTAAATCCTTGAGTTAAGCCAGTGCGGGTAATACTTGTAATAATACTGTAATTACAAAGGAGGGAAAAAATTGAGGGTAATTAGAATGACTAATTAAGGATAAGATACGATGATTAAGAAAAAGTATAGTCAATGGTGGGGATGATGAGAGAGGGGAAACCGTCGAAGATTAACAATCAATCAACGTTGTAAGACAAGATTAGTTAAGGATAAGATAAGTTGACAACAAAAAAGTGGGAAAAGATTCGGCTTTTGGGTAGGCATAATTGAGCTCTATAATAATTTTTCACTTCTTGATTTTCCGTTTTGTGTTACCGGAAAAGAAAAGAAAGGTGGGAGTTTGGTTACCTAGGGGAAGCGCCGATGAGGATGAGCTTGGAGAAGAGATCGGGGCGGCGAATGGCGGCGAGGATTCCGATCATGGCGGAGACGGAGTGGCCGACGTAGTAGCAGCGGTCGATTCCGAGGGCGGTGAGGATGTTGAGGAGATCGTCGGCGTAGGCGTCGAGGGTGGTGTAGCGGCGGAAGTCGAAGTAGTCGGGGTTGACGCTGCCGGCGCAGACGAGGTCGAAGAGGACAACGCGGTAGTCGCGGAGGAAATAGGGGAGAATGCCCCGCCACGCCGACTGGTCGGTGCCGGAGCCGTGGGCTAGAACCAGGGTTTTCTCGCCGGAGCCGACGACTCGCACGTTTAGCGCCTCCAGCAAAGATTGACCCATCGATTGGGTTTTCTTGATTTTCCGGTGGAGAAAATGTTTGGCAGTTAGCACTGTCTGAATAAACCTGTGGAAAGAAAAAGCAATTGCGTGTGAAAAGGAAGAAGTAGCTTGCACTTATATATACGGAGTTGTACTTTTTTCTTTTCTTTTTTTCAAAAAAAAAAAAAACAAAATTATAAAAATATAATTATAACTATTTTATAATTACAAGTTGGATAGTATTTTTTAGAGTAAATACTCAAAATGGTCCATCGACTATAGCTAAATTCACAAATTAGTCCTGACTTTCAATTTCAACCAATTAAGTCCTTAACTTTGTAATTTTAACACAATTTGATCATCTGTCTATTTGACTGTTTGTTGACTGTGATTTTTTAGCATATATATGTAATTTCATGGTCCATCGTCGGTTTTTTAAGGTTCTCGTTGCATTTTCAGACCGCACTGTTACATTTGAATCCACTGCCGAAAGCAATCTACCAAATCCGATCGCCTTTCTTCGTCCTCCCTTTGGATTCAATGTAGTTGAGTTCGTACCAGAGCGAAGAAGATGACGTGTTTCCGAACCAGTGCAACGTCATCCTGGAGGCCTCCACGTGCTCCGACGAGAGCTGAAGGTTCTTCTGGAGATGGTCGATCACGGTCAACAAACGGTCAAATAGATGGAGGACCAAATCGTGTCAAAATTACAAAGTTAAGGACTTAATTGGTTGAAATTGAAAGTCGATGACCAATTTGTGAATTTAGCTATAGTCGAGGGACCAT